TCGAAGGCGTTCGAATAATTCATTAAGAAACATCTTTTGCCGAAAACAACTTTTTATCCTGAATAAACAATCAGAATATTTTCTTATACGAAAAAGTTAATTGCGTCTGGAAATGTGTTTGCCATCTTATATTTATGCATATTTTTCAATGAAATCAATTTTCAGTCTATAACATATTCCAAAATGTGTTCAGTATTCGGTGCAACTTCTTGTAGATCTTATTTCTGATTATTGTTCCTAATTATAAAAAAACAACAATCTATATAGAAATGTCATACATAATTTTGTCACATACAAAATTAAAAAATTGTCCGAAAGACATCAGATGGGATTCTTTCTAATAGTTTTTTTTTGTAAATATCGGCTTCAGTGGGGTAACTGTACTATCTGGGGCCCCTGGCAAATTCTTTTGATAAGGTCCATGGCAAATTCTTTTGTTGTGGTTCATGGCAAAATTTTTTGATGGGTCGTCTCTATCAGTGAAAATTCTTACGTTGTACTCGATTTAATTTTAATAAATTTCACCATACTCAATTACACTGAGTCAACATGGTCAGTAGTACTGACTATAGGCCTCCTCTCTTAGGTGAGAGTACTTTTAAAACAAATGGTCACTGTGAATTTAATCGCAATGTAGTAAAATTATCGATTCGATTGAAATCGGCTTATACGGAATCCATAATGAAGAAATTAGCGCAAATCAGTATAAAATACATATTATTTCTGAGCAGCACTTTGGGCTGGGGCTCTCTTGCCCGTGGTATTATGCTACCTCTGTCTCTCTATACTTACACTACTGATTTGGCTTGGCTATTTCTTCGTAATTAATAGTTGAAAAATTTTATTTCGCTATTTTAATGATACTTTGCATAGAGATAGTGATGATAGTAACTTTGCTCATTCCTCGATCTGCTGATAAAGTACTACTTACACCAGCTTATGCTTTTTGAAGCCTCTAAACTGTCTATAATGAAATAACTGGTAATTTTTATAAGTGAACTAATCAAACTAATCCAACTTATCATTTATTTATTCAATAGTGTTGAATTATTGATTATTAATCTAGGTTTATCCAGTTACTTTATGCTCATTCCCCGGTCTACCGATCCATTTAAATTGTAAATTATTATTAATGAATTCAAATATTTCTTACTCCAAAGCTCAGATAAGATTTTGGTGTTACCCGATACGCCTCGTGTATAATGTATATATTATTAAAAACATGTTTGGTAATATGCGTGCGTCCGTTTAGAAAATATCAAACAATGACGTTCGTATGAACAAAATTATGCGTGCATAGACTTCGTAACAGGAAGCATCAAGTTCTCCTCAAGCAGCTCGTATCGTAATCCGATATCGGCACTTAGGTACAGCCATTGCCTGGCTATAACTTTGTAATCATTTTTATGACCGACAATAATTTTATATTACACTTTTGATCGAGTTTAAATAATCTAAACAACGACGATATCATTACAGAATGAGATGTGATTGTAATTAGTTTTTTATAGGCAGCCAAGAAGTTGATAACAATTTCTTGAGAGCCAGTAGTGAAATACTGTTCAGAATCTCCATAAGGTAAATACGAGCATGATGATCATTACCTTCCTGTGTACGTATTTATTTATGTTTAGCCAATCTCATTATTCACGTTTAATTTTTCATTGTGCTTATCCTTGCTTAGTGGTTAGTTGTTAAGATATGAACTGAATTTCGAATGAGAAGTTCCAGATTCGGAACATGCTTCGGACTGCATGAGGTTAAGCAATAGAGGCATTAGCTTTAACTTGAAAATCTCCAATTGAAAATAGCTTTTTGAGGCATTGCTACAATATTTCTATTAGAAAACCGATGAAAACCGTGTTATCGTCTAACAACTCTAAAATAAAAACTTTTAATCATATATTCTGCCGTAAAATAGACCAATTCGAGGCACCATACAAAATGGTACTAAATACTGTCTAAGTGCTATGTTACGTTGCGCTTCTCATACATACAAGTACTGTCTGAATGCTATGTGGTTGTCATGCAGTCAGGCGTTTTAGATAGAAAACCTAACCTAGAAAACGCACAAACCTAAAACTCACAATCTTATCAAAACTGTGTCTTTGTGATGTGGCATAACAACATATGAGTGAAGTAACATTTTATGTCTAAAACGCCTAAATGCACAGCAAATACATAGCATTTTGACGGTTTTTAGTTCCATTTTATATAAGAAGCGTTACGTAACATAGCCTTGCTATAACATTGGTATCTTTAAAGGCATAATCGGCCACAATATCTCAGACAGCAAGGACAACCAATGGTTTGAATTCTATTAGCAACATTGTTCTTAGAAATAAGCAGTTATACAGTTTTATATTAAATAACATCAAATAGTTCTGGCTGTTGTACAAATAGAAAAGAATATTTACTTCAATTTTGATTCTATTTTGAATTTTTATCCAAAGGATCAAACTTGCATTTTCGCATTCCAAATACGTTCAATATCAACATTTAATTGCAATTGTTTAGTACTTCTACGTAATCTTCCCCCAATGTGAAAATGGTTGTTTTATTGCTACTTAATTTATTATACGTAAGTCAAGTTGCTTTTATCTAATCAGTATTAAACTGTCTGAAACGATTACCAAAGGAATAAATGAGATGCAATCAGTTTGAATTTAGTTAGAGAAGAGGGCATTCCATTCTTTTTCGAAGTATCACGGCAGTGTGTGTGGGGCGGACGTGTAGGTGCAAAGGTGTAGAATTTGTATAAAGGCGTGCATCATAATAATAAAAGAGCTTAAAGGTACTTTGTAAATTTTTTTAGAAAATAATGAAATTGAGGCAGATACATAGAATAAGATGACATGTCCTAATTTCCTTTTCTTATTTACAACCTAATTTTTACGTTAAAGGTTTTACTCATATACCATTTTTTCATATATATCATTAATCATATACATTTTATTTTCACTTAAATGGCAAAATGCATTAGGTAACTTGTTTGGATATGGGTCGAAACCATCTTTACTTTTGCATCAGAACAGTATTTAGTAAATTCTTTTATTTTTCAATTTCCGCAAAACTTTTTATATAGAAATGTGTTGATTCTTTTTATTTTTTATATTTTTTCTTAGCATTGGTTTTCGTGCCTTCTAAATTGATTTATCGCTTTTCTTAGTATATTTCTGTACATGGCGATGCCCCATCTTCAGCATTTCACTCATTTTCATTTGTCATGTCGCTACTGCTAGATATGAAGCTAACTAGAGTGGTCAACCAAAACTAGTGGTTGCTAATCGAATTTATATTATGCCGTTCAGCAAAAATTAGATTCTTCAACTATTGTTGAGTGAATGAAGAAAGTGAATTAGGATTCTTCCTCCTCTTAAAGCTATGATTTTTTTATTATAGTGTTCCAACTTGCTGCCAGCCATCTGTCTATGTCATGTTTGTATGTAAATAGAATACTTTCTATTAGTTATGAGATCTGGCAGCATTTTATTCTTATTCGCCTCTGTACAGGCATCGTAAAGTCCCGAACACCATATGTTTTCCATATCATTCAGTTGGTTCTATACACCATCCATCCCGTCAGCGATACTTTTTATGTAATAATATGTCGAGACTATTCTTATTTCAACTGATGATTAAATAGGCGTTCCTAAGTACTTGGTTAATCGTTGTTTTAATTAAAACTGAATGCAATAAAAGAAATTCAAGATAAATAAATGACGTTTTATATTAATAGTAATGGTGATACAACACCCATAAATAAATCGTGTGTAATGTTCAAATAAAATTTGCTATACGGAGATATTGATAGTGAATTTTCACATTTCTGAAATTCGATGATTGTTATAAAAAAATAAGAACAGATATTTTTTTAATAAATTACAGTCTGGATGCGCCTTTCTTTGTGTTATAAAGCTTCCGCATTAAACCTTGCGATTTTAATCAAATTTCATCAAGCTGAGTGCGGTAAAAAAATACGTGCATATATTAAAATAATAAATTAGTAGTATTTTACAGAAGGATAGTGTTCGCGCCAGAACGACAGCAGATGGCACGAGCAAATACATTAGTCAGAATCGGACAACACTAATTCTCTGGCAATTCCGAAATTAGAAGATTTGCATATAAACGCTAATCATGAGCGTTCCTCTCTCGCTCGCTTGTCATGTACGTTCTTCAATTGTTTTTCTGTATGAGTTTTTATTAAATTTTCCGAGTGTTAGATTTTATTTGTGTGAATAAATACCTTATTAATCGCAGCCAGTGTTCCTTCTGGAGTCAATTCTTTCCTCAGCATCCAATTTCTAAAGCGATTCCGGACTTCAAGCCACCATTCCAAACTGATAATCTAGTATATCCTTATTATACTTAATTGTGCAAAATTCTCGTAATAGCTATTGAATCAAATACAATAAGCTATTCTGAAAGGGTCTAAGCAATCCCCATCATTAACAAATAGTGATGTGTTTTATAACCTTATATAGAAGCCAATTGTTTGTAGTAAATAAAAACACAAATTTCTTTTTGTTTTTATAATCTTTATGAACAGCGATCAGAACTCAAAGAGTTCTATGAGCTGTTGTGATGAATTTCTTACAAACTACGTTCGTTTTTCATAGATAGACCCCAAAAACAGTTGTCCAATCGCCATGTGATATTTTTTTATTATTACAAATATTGTAATAGTGATGACTTTTTTATTGGAGCAGTAATGCAGTATCAGGGCTATTTTCACTTGGAAACATATTGCCATCTATATTTCAAAGTGAAAACCATTGTCACAATTGCTCGAAGCGGGATCGAACCCGGTACCTCTGACCCAGGTCCAGTCGTTCTACCCACTTACCTAAGAGCGAGCACGAATTTCTCAAATATATAAAGAAGAAAAAAACTACCATTTTATTATATATTTTTTATTAAATAATAATTTTTACAATTGTCTCAGAACGTACAAGTAAAACATTTGGTAAAAATTATTATAAAATAATTATTAATAGTTAACGTCTAGAACGTCCAGCACGTTCATCACGTTCAGCACGTTCATTACGTTCAGCAGCTCGACGTAAAAGGACATAGATCTTTTCCTTAATCCATTCTCTATTGTAAGGTGCATAAGTATTCGAGTGGTTCTGGTGCACCAAGCAACTGAAGTCGGTTAAACCGTCCAAAAAATCAAAAAGTTGACTAATATCATATGTGATTGTAGGTGTATTAGGATTTTTCCTCTTAAGATGCTCCTCATATATTTTACAAACACCTTCCATACAATCATTAACAGACTCGTAATCGGAATAAGTTCGGGTGTCTGGATTTGGCGCAGGTTGCACCAATAATATCGTATGAGACATTTTTGTGGCAACCTCTAACACGAATATTCGGTTGCTAAATAATTCTATAATTGCGCTAATAATGCGCAACCAGTTTTCAACTTTTTGAGGTTACAAGATGCCCGTTGTACCAGGAACTGTCATAATAATGAATACTTAGATATTTATTTAAATAATTAAAAAAATATTTCATTACCTTGTACGGATTGCCTCCAAAAACTTATACGCACTGAATTTAAAACTTTAAAAGAGCAAACAATAACAAGCACATCAAAACAAGAACAATTTTTTAATGTAAGATTTCAGATCGTTACGACTTTATCGATATGTCAGTAAATCAAACTACCAACATTATGCGAAACAAAAGCATGAGGTGCTAGTTAAGGGGTCGGGCGTGTGGCGCTGTTCACGCATGAATGCTTTCAAATTAATGGCGCAAAATTTGAAATAAAAAATAATGAAATTTGATAATCGGTAATTAGAACCTTAATTTTGCATCACAATCGAGTTACGTTTTTTAATAACACATTAATGACAAGAATACACCAAATAATAATATATTATAATAGATATACAAGTAAATTGAAATATAAATAAAAAAGCACCCTGCTAATTAAAATACACATCATATATTTACTGCAATAACTTTTAGTCTATTTTGACTTGTTTCTACGAATATTTAGTAAAATCTAGTGAAAAAAACATTATAGACTTAGTTCATTTTATCACTTTGTGTTATTCTTAACTTATTAACCAATCATCATCTTGTGCAAAATTTGACATACTTAAGCAATCTATTTTTGTCCAAATATTTTCTGGAAGATTTTTAACTCTTTTCTTTTTCTTATAGAAGCTTTTACTTTATTTCTTATAGAAGTTACTACCATTATTATTATATTGTCTAGGGTTACTACAACTGGTCTTTACAAACTTCGCGGGGTTTCTTCTGAGACAATAAGCCCTGGTCTGTACGTAAATGCTAATCATACCCCTTATAATACATACACGCACGTAATTATAAGTATATTTTATACATGTAATAAAATATTTACATGTGTATAAGGTCTATGATATTAATCCATTAACGATTAACGTTTATATGCAGACTTACAAAAACGTAATCAACCAGCCAAGTTCTTTGCTAACGTTGGTAGCTTGTTTTAAAATGTTTGGCATTTTATAATGTTGGTAGCTCGTGTTTCAAATTCTTAAATGTCATGTTAAAGAATAGTGCTTTGATAAAAGAAGTAAATGATTAGTTCTTGTTTTGACTTTTCAGTGATTTTTTGTTTTGTTTTGTGGAATTTGAAGAGTACCTGCTATCAAATTAAATTTGAAGTCAATCTGTATAAGGTAATAAAAAATCATTTATAATTAAAATTATTATCAAAACTAGTTGTAAGTAGCATTTTTCCAAGGCGAGTTGCATGATCTCGATACGTAAACATAATAATATAAATCCATAAGGGTTGAGACTACTCTTCTTTTATCTATAATTTGAGAATCAACTATTTAGGTAAAATGTTGAACTATTTATTTCCGAAATAATAAGTTCAATTTCACTAAAAAATATCAATGCGAAAAAAATTTATAATATTTGTAATTGTTTAAATTAAAATAATTTGCTCAACAAATTTCATTTCGTCTTTTTCGTGTTTTAAAAATTTATTTTATTAAAATATGGACGTCAACAGTAATCAGTAGCTACCTACTAAACAAGTGACGTGCATAGATATATTTGGCATAGATTCTAATTAGAATTTCTTATGCGTACGACAAATTTTTAAACTTTGTTGAGTTGTTATAATTCAACCGCTTATCGTAGGCCTATAATATTTTAGTAGGATATTTAAGACTACAAAATTTAAATATTCAATTACGAAGAAACGGTCCAGCCGATTTTTACCAAAAAGTAATCAACGAGATTCCCAACCAATAATGTATTTTACAATTTTCTGCTAATTACAAAAAAAACGGTTAGGCCAGTCGTCGCACTGATAAAAGTCCTTATCGAGCTATCTGGTTTTAAATTTTGAAATCGGTCCAGCCGTTTCTGAGAAAAAGTCGACAAAAGGTAAAAATTTGGTTCGCATGTACACACTTATTTTTCTAAATTAATTCTCATTCGATTCAGAATAACTTGAAATGTTAAGAAAACAAACTTAGCACATTGGATTTTTTCGCGAAAACAAACTTCTTTTTCGGAAGCTAATAAACATGTTTATAATAGTTTTTGCAAAATAGGGTATTTTGCATATATGTATAAAAAACACATATAATCAGTTATATATGTTACATTATGAATACTCCTTCCCTGGAATTGCTGTTTCTAAGGGGGCGTCCATTAATCACCTGAGCGATTTTTAAGGATGTTTGGACCACCCCTCACTCTTGGTAATACGTGGTGATATTTAAAATTACTCCGCCTCCCCACATAACATCACATCATTTCACATCATTTCAGTACCTAGAAAAAATCTTAAAATTCTTCTTTTCAAATTCAAAATTTTCTAAATTGAGGTAACAAATAAATAAGCGTGATGTCTTAATTTACACCCCTTCTCCTACGTAATATTTTGTGATTTTTTGTCAACACCATCCCTCCCCTTCCTCCTTTAAGGCTCACCTGGCAAATGGACGCCTCCTAATCAAATTATCACTATCAGTTAATTTCTAATAATAAAAATTTAAGCTTGAATTAGGTAAGAATCTCGGAAATCGAGATACCCAGCTGTAAGTCTGTAAATACTTGTATATTGACACTCTAAAAGTTGTCTCAAAACCTACATATGGTAGGGTGTATAAACCATATGTAGGTTTTGAGACAACTTTTAGGGTGTCAATAAACAAGTATTTACAGACATATCTCGAATTCAGAGGAGAATATACTGCAATGACTGGACTAAAAATATAGATAAGTGGTAACGTTCTGGTTGCCATAGGACATAAGTACTAGGTACTGAACTGAATGCTGACAAGAATGTAGGTTTTGAGACAACTGTAGGGTGTCAATGAACAAGTATTTACAGACCTATCTCGAATTCCAAGGAGAACCTACTATAATGACTGGACTAAAAATATAGATAAGTGGCAACGTTTTGGTTGCCACAGGACGTAAGTACTAGGTACTGAACTTATAGCTGTACAAGAATGACAATATGAAAAAATATAATGCAAATGAAGTTCATTCAGTAGTTTTCTGAGACGGGTTTAAAAGATATATTTATAAATCGATAAATCATAATTTAATCATATTTCTTTGGTATCCAATTCGTTTCGCTCGGTATTGGTGCATCGATTATTCTTTATATGGTAACATTGAATCTTTTCGGTATTCGAAGCCTTACATAGTACCAACAGCTGACGGCCATTCACAAGAGATGAGCGATGTTTCATCTGTCCGTTTGCCGTATGTCGTTCGGCCTCGGGGACTTCTCGACGCTGTCTCATGTTTTATGCTTGAAACTCCGCGTCGCGCCATATACACGCGGCTGGCCGCCAACCCCAGACGGAACCTTATTTGGAGAAACTACGATTCTTGGATATTGTCAATATAGTGTTGTATTTCGTGTTATATGTACCTGTGCAACTGTAGGATCAGTTCTTGGTACGAAGAAACTTCAGAGGATATGTCTATTATTCGCGGGAATATATTGCAGTTGCTATCGCATAGTAGACAAACATTTGAAATTATTTTGGAAAGCATTTTACAAAATTTTCCTAAACCATACTTAGAATAATAAATAATAACACTGCCTGTCAGTAAAAAAAAATCTTGAGATGTTATGATGGTTTTTAAGTAATTTGAGAACGTCCATTCCGATAAATGTAACAGAACTTTGCTAACTGCTCTAGTTTTCGATACTAATGGGCTAGTATTAGGTACTTCAAATTACTATGAAAAATAACACATATTTAATTTTATGCCTTCAAAAGTATTTTCATATAATTTCCAAATATGGACAATGTCTCACACCAACATTTGGCAGCCATCATGTGGACGTCCCACCTCCTTTTATATTGCTCCTCCAAAGTTCTGATGTTTTGATGGTATCATAAAAATAATCATTCACAAAATAACGTAATTAGAATAGAGAAATGCAAACTAATACATAAAATGAAATTTAACCGAATTAAAACAAGTGCAACAATAGACATAAATCAAGATATACATGAACACTACACCAGACAACACAACAATTTTCACATTGAACACAATAGAAAGTAGAATTTGAGAGAAAATGTCATATGGAGTGCTAGCAAAATATATAACAAATTGCCAAACGATATTAAGATGGCCAATGAAGACGATAAATTTAAAAGAAAAATAAAGAAATACTATAAGGAAATTGAAGGCAAAGAAGACTGAAGAGTTATATATAAAGATATTTTAATTATAATAGATATTATATTAATGAAATAGTCAAATGAAATGTATATATGAAATATGAAAACTGTTTTTCATAATCTCTCATACCAGGCACTTCTGTCTGACTGAGATATGAAAATAATGTATATATATATATATATATATATATATATATATATATATAAAAATAAATCTCTCCTCTGATTCCTTGGTTTTCTTTTCGGTTTTATACATAGAATTTGCGAACCGTAGATTTTTTATGAGTTGCCCAATTTGGGGATCATAGAATATATCTATTTTTAACTCTTCCTGACTTCTCTTTAAACGTTGGTCTCATAATCCATCACATGGTAGGTAAAAGGTTTTGATGTTCTAGCGATATTGATCATCATCAGCATAAATAGGTATAGTGTAGCTGATTGTAAGTGGACCCCAAGACCATTGGCTCATAGTGTATGACCATTTTCTTCTATTGCCTGAATTTAATCCATTTATAGTTACCCCACATAAGAACAGGAAAAAACAAGTCTCCAGTGGTAGATTCTTATACACTCTCTGTTCAGTCAACTTTAAAGTTATAAAAGTATGTTTCGACAAATTTTTGCATATTTTTTGTATTGATGCATCCCATGGTCTAGTGGTTAGACCATTTACTTCTATTGTCTGAATTTATTCTATTGATAGTTACCCTACATAAGAACATAAAAAAACAAGTCTCCCGTGGTATGATTCTTATACACTCTCTGTTCAGGCAACTTTAAAGTCATAAAAGTATATAAATTTTTGCATATTTTTTGTATCGAAGCATTCCATGGTTTAGTGGTTAGAGCTTTTGCATTCTAATATATATGCAGAGTTGCATTTGATGTAAAAACGCCTGATCGCACAGCAAATTCATGGCTTTTTGGCAGAATTTAGCACCATTTTGTATAAAAACTGTTACGCAACATAGTCTTGCAATAACAT